AATGATTCTACATTGAGTTTTGACGGGGTAGTAAGATGTGTCCTTCAATATTCCTCATTGAGCTTTCAGGATGCCGAAACATCACTCAATACAATTTCTTGCTTGAGAGTGTTTCATGTTAAAAAATTCTTGCGATGATGCTAGTTGGTGACCTTGTTGCCATTCAGTCAAATGATATCGTTGTCCTCGATAAAGGGCCAAAAACCATTCCCCATTAGAGTATCCAGCATCGCACAAATAGTATTGCCCTAAAATAAACAATTTCAAGTCAATAACAATTATTAAGTGCATTATTATGGCAGACCCTAACATTAAAAATACAATTTATTTTGTTATATTACCTTGGGGGACCTTTAATCCATTTCTCCTAGTAATGGCATCCTTAAGAACTCTATCATCTGCAGCGGAACCTTCCCACCCAGGGAGGAGATATATAAACTGCATGTCAGGTGTGCATACACCAAGGACATTAGTTGCAATTTCACTTTTCCTTGACGGGTATCTAGGTATATCATTCGCTGGCACGTGAACCTTTATGTATGTTCCATCTAAGGCTCCCAAACAGATCTAACACAGAACAACAAAAATATTTTAGAGAAAACACTAAGTCTGATTTTAATAAGCTACTGAACTACATGTGCATCTGAAACCTAGTGATTAGACTGTACCTTGAACCATTTCCACCGCTCATCGGTTGAGTTCTCGGGAATGGCCTCTGGTTTTTTAAGCAGCAGGGTATGCAACCTTAACACGACGTTCAAGACTAAGTGAAAATTGTGGCTTACCGTCTCAATGGATCTACGCATTTGACGTTTCATTACTCTGGTCTTTTGGTTATGGGCAAAGATGTGAAGAAAGGTCCCAACTAATTCTTCTACGGATGAATGATGGGTTGATTTTAAGTTGCCATGTATAGTAAGTAAATTACATAATTTGTGAAATAGAGCCATATTCATCCTACAGCTCTCAAAACATAACTCATCACTTTGGAAAAGCATGATGTGTAAATTGAACGACCTAACCTTAAACCTAGACGTAGACTCACTAACATATGATATAGCAGCCCTACGTCAACCCCGTATATTAAGTGCATTAGCCTAGGGCTGGAAAAAAAAAACTGAAAACCGAACCGAAAAACCAGATTGAAACCGAACCAAAAAATCAATTTTTCAAATTAACCGATTCGGTTTCAGTTTTCAAAAATAATTAAACCAAATTTTCGGTTCGGTTAATGGTTTAAGGATAATATTAAACCAGTTAACCGAAACTGGTTTTGAAAAAAATAAAAATATCCCTTATTTTTTCCCCCACTTTTTCTTGGTATTGGGTACACAGAACTGCACTCTGCTTCTCTGTGCATTTTCTTGGGTTTGCTTCTCCACGCAAATACTTTTTTTTCGTCTTCTTTCTCCTTTCATTTTTCTCTTTCTTCGTCTTCTTTCTCCTTTCACTGCTTTCTCTTTCTTTTTTCAGTTTTTCTTCACATTTTCGTCTTCTTCTCTTCCTCTCCTTCACCAATTTCTCTTTCTTTTTCGTCTTTTCTCTTTGTCTCCTTCTCCAATTTTCCTTTTCTTTTTCGTCTTCTTCTCTTTTCACTTTTCTGTATTTTTTTCTTTTTCGTCTTCTCCATTTCTTCTCTTTCACTGCTTTTCTGTTTAGATTTGGATAAGAGGCGATAAGAGAATACCATGATTGGACTTCAACTTTCTTCTTCTTCTTCTTCGATGGTTTGGTAAAGCATAATTTTAATTCAAGTAAAAAAAAAATTGGAAAAAAAAATGGGCCAAAGTGGAGTGTGATCGAATTGGGCCGAAAAAAGCAACCCATAATTCATAATTGGGCCAAAAAATGCAGCCCAATATTTAATCGGTTTGTAACTGAAACTGGACCGAATTCGGTTCAATTATTTTTTTGAACCGAAAACCGGTTCGGTTCAAGCTTCCGATTAACCGGTTTTTTCCACCCCTACATTAGCCAACCCAAGAAGGACGAGCATGGTGTACATGGTTTCCAACATGTCTAAATGGAAGACTAGAAGGGCAACCAAGTGCATCTTCTGCCTGACTGTTAAACGAGCCATAGCTATTTCACATAATTCGTGGATCAAAGCATAATGAAGTCAATCAAGCATGTACAATTCCTTAAACCCAACACAGGCAATTGTATATGGAAGAAATCAAATTGAATATCAAACCTCAAACAACATAAACACCAGAATTTAATAATCTCACCAGCAAACAAAAATTTACCTCAAACACTCATACAATTCTCAACGTCCCACACATAAAAGTTTTTCATCCATCACACAAACCAACATAAACATCACAAAAATTTCACATCAATCCCTCAAAACTGTCTTCTTTAGCAATTCAATTGGTAACATAAGTGAAATATGTTTACGGCAAAAATCACGATATTGTAAGTGCCAAAATATATCTCATAAAGCAGAACAAGCATGTCTACTCAATGAAGATCATAGCCATACATTTATACCGACTAAAAACATCATTTCTAATAATAACAGCAATAACTTATTCCAGTTTGGAAACATGGCCACACTCACATGCCGAATACCCATAAATTTATACCAACTAACACCATCATCTCACCATACTAAACCCACCCCAACCAACACAGACCAACCCTCTCAATTTAATAATCTTCCTACAACATAAGGAGGCGTGGAACTTACTGAAAATCACGATTGCAGTGTTGTTGGGTGCAAATAGATGGCGACGAAGAGGAGAGGTTGCTACAGCGTAGATGTTGGACCAACGACAGAGGAAAAATGGAGAAGTTAGGGTTTGAAATTACAATCCAAACAAATCACATTGCAATCATAATAGTAACCAAAAATGTAGTTCATACACACAATTTCACCAATTTCAGCCCTAACACACATAAAAAAGCACACACACAGCAAAACCTTAAATAGAAAAAACAAAGGAGCCCTAACTCAAACGCAACAAATCACGACATTAAACCCTAAACCTTGCTGCCATTTCAAACTACTTTATAAAAATTTCAGCATCAAATTGGTTAAGGCACGACAATATTATCCTCGATTTGTCTTTTAGACCTATTGAACACTCTACAAACCCAATATTTCAAGATAAGCTACAAATATAATAGGTAATCTCAAGGTTTAAACCCAAAAATTCAATAAATGCCCTAAACCTTCTTGACATAAAGACCAATCCTTAATTTTTAAAGGGAACTAGTAACGCCAACTGTAGCATAATGTAACTTGGAAGTATTTTGGATTTTAGGCTTCATTAGACAGAAACGGAGCCTGATGGTTCATCAATAGACTAGAAAACAAATTGGATGGACTAACAACTGGTTGACAATTTTGGCCCATTAAAATGATGAAGCCTCTAAAAACCCAACAAAATTTGGAAACCATCATCTAATGCACAAGATCTAGGAGTTATTTTCTAATTATACTTTTGTATACATGTATGTAGTTTAATGCATCTGCCATTACTATGTTTAATATACAACTAGTAGTACTATACATCCCAAGTTTGTATTCCAAGTGATATGGCCTTATTTTTAGAAATACATACCATTGATCACATAATAACATGATCCACAAAAATCACCAAAATAATGACAATATTTAGAATGCAAAACTAGGGTATATGATCTACTTCAACATACAGAGTAGTAACCACACCAATAAGTGAACATGAAAGGACAATTGCATAAACATCAACCAGTGTATCCAAATAAATCACTAGCTACTAGAAAAACCCCCTTACATTGACCAACCATATATCTTTGAAGAAAGAAAAATGGCCAAGAAACAATTACCTTACAGCTCTCTATGTTAGTGGACCAACGATGGTTTTCAAAGAGTTGTCTTATCGGGAGCAAACAGAGGGCGACGAAGACCCGACGTTATTGCGGCGGAGATGGTGGACCAACGACAGAGGGAAAATGGACAACTTAGGGTTTAGGGTTGCAATCCAAACAAATCACGCAACATACAAAGGAAAGAGGGCAAACTACTTACAGGAAATAGCGATCGGACTGACGAACTGGCGAACGAGATCGACGAGAAGAAGACTTCAGTGGTGGCGAACGAGTTTTAGCGCAAAGAAGGAAATCGTGCTTGTTTGTGCGATTTTGAAATTTTTTTTTCTTTTATCCTGTAGTTTTAATGAAGTTCAAGGGCATATTGGTCACAATATGCAAATATCTGAGGATAATATGGGTACACCAATCTTCGTGGCATTTCTGAAATAAATGATAAAAAGCAGGGTAGTTTTTTTCGAAAAATTAAAAAACTAAGGAAAAATACGTCTGTTTGTACAAATTGGCTATTTTGTAATTATTAATAAACCAAAGGATATTTTCGTCTGCATAATCCACTGTTTAGAGGGAAGATTGTACATAAATTATGATTACCAAAGTAATGTTTTAATATCAGCCCCCCCTCAGATAATATTATTCTCGGCAATTTACCCCTTTTTTGGTACTGTTTGTCATCTTATTTTACAGTAATGTTTTTATACAAAAATTCCAAACACGGTTAGCTGCTCAATTAAACAAATATTACCCATGTTAAAAAAATTCAACCCGATCCAAACGAGCCCTTATTGTGTTATAATATAGCATTAAGCAGTGGATGAGGGATATGAATAATGAACTTTGTACTAGAGAAACAAGAGTTAAGAAAAAGACGTCTAAAATCATTGTTACATTGAAGAGAGTTGTTGAGAAATCACTATAATAAGAGGATAATTTAATTAAAGTATGTTACCAAACCACATGAATTTATGGTAACTGGGATCATCCAATTATTAAGATGAACCGTTGCCCAACGGTTTTCTTTTCCCATAGATTACTATTCATTTTACATCATATGTCCTATTAATTTCCAAATTACGATTAATTAAACATCATAGCATCCAATATCTCATCCTCATCCTCATCCTCATCCTCATCCAAACTAAATTAAATTATAAACTAAAAAAAAAAGGCAAAGAAGAATCTTGATTGATCCACTCATGTCATCATGGCTGTTCATTACAAAATATATATATTTTCTAATTAATTATATGAATCAAACGGCTAAGACCTGCACCCATTCTAGCAGGCCCCAGCCATATTATTACATAACATCTACACCTTCATTTCTCTTATATTTTGTCTTCTTCTATATCAAATCTATGTCTCTATTATGCTACATCTTCAACAAAAGGACCACAGCAATAATTCCATCAACACAAAATTTAATTCAACATAAATAATTTAATTTAAAAAAAAAAAAACTTTGCTGATGAAGATCAGAAGATACCACCAAGTTTAATGACTTCAACTGGACTCCTCGGAATGCGCGTTATTGAACCTGGTTTCTTTTTTTACCCTCGGTTGAATCCCGTAATAACTAACATACCACTTTACGAATTTCCTCAATCCTGAGGCCAGATCCGTGGCCGGCTTGTACCCGAAATCCTTATACGCCAAGCTCACATTTGCATGCGTGTATGGCACATCGCCATTTCTCGGCATTCTGATCACATGCTTCTTCGCTTTTGTGTTTAATAAATTCTCCAAAATCGAAACCAATCTCCCCACCGGAACCGGCGACGTGTTTCCCAGATTGTACACTCTCAGCTGCGCCGGCCCTTTCTTTTTCCCACCACTCCCGGTACTCTTCTCCGCCGTGTCAAGTGCGCCGAGACACCCTTTCACGACATCGTCAATGTACGTGAAGTCACGCGCCACCTCTTTGTCATCCTGGGTTTTATACACGTCAATTGCTTTGCCTTGTAGTATGTCTTTTGTGAAGAAGAAATACGCCATGTCGGGTCTTCCCCATGGCCCGTATACCGTAAAGAATCTTAACCCGGTAAGGGCAAGACCGTAAATATGGTTATAAGTGTGGGCAATTTCTTCTCCCGCCTTCTTGGTTGCTGCGTAGAGACTTGCGGGCTGGTCGGTTCTATCAGATTCAGAAAATGGAACTTCAGTGTTGAGGCCGTACACTGAGCTTGATGAAGCCCACACAATCGACGGCTGAGGATTGGCGGATTTGCATACTTCTAGAAGGTTGATGAATCCGGCCACGTTGGACGCCACGTAAGACTGCGGGTTCTTCATGGCATAACGCACTCCAGCTTGAGCTGCGAGGTGTAGTACGTGAGTGAAAGGTACAACGTCGAAAAGCTTATTCAACAACGGCGTATCGTTCAAGTCTCCTTCTACAATGAAAATCTGATGCTTTTGAAGAAACTTTTGCCGGTCTCTTTTAAGCGTCGGATCATAATAATCGTTGAAGTTATCCAATCCAAGAACGCCATCGCCGCGCTTCTTCAACGCGAGAGAGCAATGGGATCCAACGAACCCGGAAGCTCCTGTTACCAACACAGTGAAGCCATTGGAGCGGCGGGGAGTGGCAGAGTGGCGGAGCTGCTTCTCCCAGGAGGCGCCGCCGCCGATGGAGGAGAATAAAGAAGTGGAGAGAAGAGCGTGACGGTGGTGGTGAGGAGGAGAATTATCGAAAAGCGGGGGATGATTTAAAGTGAGGAAGAAAATAAGAACGAGTGCAATAAGAATGGTGGCTCGAAAGAAGAGTTTAGAAGAGGAATGCAAGAGCTTGGTCAAGTGAAGTCGACGAACGTAACTGTTGTAGCGTTCGAGCTTAACGGTTTTGCTGGTGTCGGGGGGAGACGCCATTGATGATGAAATTGAGAAGAATGATTGAATGAAATGGATCAAAGATTATAAAGGGCAAATAGAAGAAGAGAAGTGTAGTGGTGGACCAAAGAGGCTGGTTGGAGACCACTTTCTTTATTTCTCTTTTTAACTCTGAGCTTATGAAATTAGACTGGAATAATGACCTCCGTTTTACATGGTATTTACGATAATGTCCTTTTGGTATGTATTGGTTTAATGAAAATGCCAGCTATCTTCTTCTGTAGAAAAACTCGTATCCATGTGGTATACACGTGTTGAGATGTAAAAATACCAATTAAATATTTGTTATATTTGAGCTGTGGATAGTCCACTCATTTTTAATTTAGATAATGGTAATTTTGTGGGCCCCTTCAAGATTGCTTATTTTCATTCATACCCATAATTATCCAATACCATTATGCTTCTAGCATCTAATATTTTATATTTTTCTTTTCAAAAATGAAAATATGAAGGACCTTTTTTTGATAATTTTAGGGGAAGTTTTTGATAATTATGACCTTAACAATGGATCTGTAACATATTTAAGAAAACCATGTTGCTAATAAAAAATTAAACAATGTTTTGGGGATCCAGAATAATTAATGTAAATAATGTGAACTAGTTTCATATGGTCAAAATAGTTCAACCAGCTAGGCTGTACAAAATTTTCTTCATTGTGTTGTCTTACTAGAGACAAAGATCTAAAGGTAGGTCGCTCAATTTTTATTAAAAAATAAAAATTAATTAAGGTTAATTGTTTTTTTTCCCTCCCTTATGGCATTTAACTAAAGCGCAAGTAAATCTCACCGGTTTAAATGAAGATTTAATTAAATTAATAAATAAAATATGACTTTGATAGATGTTATCATTTGATTTCCAATGACAATTAATAGCCTGTATATCATATAATAATAAATTAATGTTTTTTACTGTAATTAATGAGGATTAGTTAAATTAATGAGATGGAAAGTGGATACTGATTGATTGTATATAAATTTATAATTATAAACACAGCTAGGAAGAAGAAGAAAGCGTGTCGGTGGTCTAAATGGATGACCTTTTAATTAAATTGGTGAGCTGGAATTGGAACTTTGTCCAATTTTGTCTATGCAAATTTTATATTAGTTGGCATTTGTTTACTTATTTTGAAAGCTTCATTCATTCACTACACACACTAATTAATTAATTAATTAATAATTTTACAGTTAAAAAAGGGATTTAGCGATGATAATAATTGATTTAATTAAATTTTTTTTATCTAATATTCTTCCCCAAAACCTGGAAAAAGTATGTTTCTAATTTTAGTCTCATAAAATTAATTGGGCAATTTGGGTCCAAAAAAGTCGTATTCCATTGACATGAAATTTTTTTTTTTTTTATGAAAAATTTCTCTTAATTAAATAAAAAGTGTTTGGCATGTCATCCTTTATGATTTATAATTTTATATATTTGAAATTTTCAATATGTATACTATATAGCTAAATGGTGATTTCCTAATTTATAGTAAGCAATTAGTCTTTTATATATATATATATATAATCAAAGGTATTAATACTGGTTTACCACATATTATATATATGAATAATTAATTAAATATTAAATGATGTCAAAGTCTCTGTATATGTGAATGGGTACATTTTGTTTATTTTCATTGCCTCTTGGAAGTAGTTAATTAAATAATAATAATACATTTTGTAATTAGGATGAATCTAATATAGAAAGATTTCAAGATATCACGACGACCACCGACCAGTGTGGTAAAATTAATGTCAGATGGATGTTTTTGTAATATTCGACAACATAGTGGGCAAAACATTTTACAAAAAATATTCACAATATTTTAAAATGAATTGAATATCAGGTACGGCTACAATACGAGATGATGGTCTAAGGATTTATTATCTTAATCTAAGGTTAATTTAGCCTCCAATAATACAACAAACTAATTGGAATCTAATAACTTAGGTGCTATAATATTAGGAATAACATGGGTGCATTTGGCTTATTGTTTTTATCTATATTCCCAATCTTATTTTTCAAATGTTGTTTGGCACGTTATTCCCAAATTATTGGTCTATTTTTTTAATTATGTTGAGACCCTATAAGTTTATTAATTTCATTAATACCCCCCAGAAAAAAGTTTAAAAACTAACAAAAACACCCCCACCCACGATACCTGCCAGATTCCGGCAACCACCGCTATAAGTTTATTAATTTTATTAAATACCCCCCAGAAAAAAGTTTAAAAACTAACAAAAACACCCCCACCCGCTGATACCTGCTAGATTCCGGCAACCACCGCCGGTGGTAGTCGGAATCTATTACAATAGTCACACAGCCACCGAAAATAGCCGGTAATGGCCAGATCAAAACTTGGCTGTCGTTGACAGACAACGACGGTGTCGTTTCAGCCTTTTCCGACCGTCGCAGCCACAGCAGTTCGTAGATTTGGCCTTTTCCCGGAAAAAGTCATAATGACTCGTTACGGCACAGATCCGACCGGCTTGTGTCGTAACGAAATTTTTGGGCCAGATTCCGGCGGTGGTGGCCGGAATCTGGCACTGCAGGTGATAGGGGTGTTTTTGTCATTTTATATATTAGGATCTTTAATTAAATTAGTAAACCTAAGGGCTTTTTAATAAATTTTTAAAGTTTACCTCGTAATACTCCCCTATCCAACAACCCAATACTATCCACAAAATCCTATCCAAAATAATAAACCAAATCCACCCATTATTCTTTACCAACACTTTTGTATCATAGTCTAAACTTTGAACCATAATCCAATTATGACATACGATGACGTTTGGCCAAGTGTTGGAGATCTTGTCAGCGATTAGAATTTTTAAACACCCACTACCTTTGTCGAGGGTGCCCTTGTTTTCAACAGGGTACATTCATATAAGATCAGGATCCGAAGAATAATTCAATGTCTAAAGTAAGATTAACAATATTATATAACATTATTAAAGTAGGGATGGGCCCATTTATATATGAGTGGGGCTAGTAACCCCACTCAAGAAAATTTTTTTTTAGATCGAAAATTTTTTTTTAGATCCATCCCTAATTAAATGTAACGCTGTCCCTATAGGCCACGGAGGTATTTATATAAGATATGTAGAGTAACGTTACCCAATAAGATATAAAATAAATTGATAATTGTATTGACTGGAGGGTGTAGTTGAAAAAAAGGGGGATGAATGGGAAGGAGTAATGAGAGAAAAGGGGTGGGACCAAAATGTAAGTGTCTTATCTGGAAGGGTAGACTTAAAATGGGATGTGGCCTTATCATGCCGTGAGACTTTTGGTCTCTTCATCACATGGGGTAGAGAGGGACATATACCTTCACATTTAAATATCCCCCCATTTATTTTATTTTTCCTTTTTTTTTTTTTAATATAAAATACATGTAACTTAACCTCAATCATTGGCCTAAACAATACCTTATACAACTTTTAACACTTACGTAAACTTATATTTTATGTATAGTTGGATTAATTGCATATATAAATATATATTTCAATAAGGTGTGCTTGATTGAATAAGCATAATATTTTTTTTTCTATTTTTATTGTTAATTTGTTATTATTCTTTAGTGTTCTTGATGTATACCCTTAGGGTGCATTTGGTTCAGAGAATGTTTTATTGCTCAAAAGGTAAGATTACCTTCGAGATAGATTACCTTGAAGATTACAGGGGAATATTATACCAATATATTTGGTTAGATTAGTGGGTATAAATAATTAAGATGTTTAGTTGAGAAGAATAAAATATTATCGATATTAGTTTTTACTGAATTGTCCTTCCTTTTTAAAATAATAATAATAATTATTATTATTATTATAAATTCTTTTAACCTCTTATATTTGAGAATTTAGCTAAAACACCTCCAACAATAAAGTTTAAATTTTAACAAAATACCCCCAACCACCGCCTACCGCCGGCCACCGACGTTAGTCACCAAAACGGCGCACGACCGGCGAGATTAGGCTAATTTTGTGCCGTTTTGGCTATTTTTAACTAGATTGAAGGCCGAAAACAGCTAGATCACTGTGGATCTGGCTGTTTTCAATCACATCCATGCTGATTTGGCTGTTTTCGACTAGATCGAAGGTTGAAAACAGCCAGATCACCGTGGATCTAGTCGAAAATGGCATACGGTCAGGCAGATCTAGCCAAATCAGCACACGATCGGCCAGATCCTGCCGATCATGCATCAATATGACGACTATTTTCGGTGGCCGATGGTGGTGGCTAGCGGCCAACGATAGTCTTTGGTGGCTGGAGGTATTTTGTTAACTTTTAAACTTTTTGTGGCGGGGTATTTTAGCTAAATTCTAAAATGTAGGGGTTTGGGTTATTGTTATTTGGTAGACATTTGAAGGCAATTGTGTCCATAATGGTATTTAATTAAGGGCAAAAAGGGTATAAAATTAAGATTACCCTGGTAATCTTTAAATACCACCCCTTGAGGAGGTAATCTGATTATCCCCTATTTAACCCATGGTAATCACTATTGATATTGAAGATTACCAAAATCTTTTATTACTTGACAATCAAACAAAAGAATGCCTGGAATTAAAGATAGATTACCAGAGTTATCTTTCCAAAGCCCTAACCAATCACACCCTTATATATATATATATAAAGAATCCCATAGTTTTGAGATAATAATAGAACATGGAACTTTTGACATCCAATTGGTTGCAAATTCTAGTTAATTGCATATATAAATACATATTCACTAAGGATGTGGGTCATGGGATTCTTTTATTGCTAAAAAACAAAAAAAATCTATTAATAAATAGCAAAACAAGGGATTACGCTTATTAATAAAAGTTTGATGACATAATTGGACGTTATGCAAAGTTTTTTTATAGCTCAAAATCCATAGGAACCACTTCTTGTCTTATGAGTAGTATATTCATGGAGTGAGTGGTTCCTTTATAATTATAATAACTTCAATTGGTTTAGTATTGCATAAAGAATTAAGAAGTAAGTAAATAAATAAAAAATATATCACGATTGAGGGTACTTTTGGAATTAACATGAATATATTTGAGGGAATTAAAGAATCAATGCGACTGTATATCATCAC